AGAACCCTGCTGATCCGGTGCATTTCGCTGAGGTGCTACCTGCACCCAGACTTCATCATCAGAAAACGAACTTGAACTTCCTGACTCAGAGTCCAGCTCACTGAATCCATCTAAGTCCCACTCAGTACTAGATTCGCTCCTTGCATCATCTTCCTCTGTAATGAAACTTTGCCCAGGCTCAAGGCAGGAAGGATAAACACGAGCACAGAGGCAAATAAAGCCAGAGTCAAACTGCAAAAGGCCTAACATGGTACCTATATTAATCCACTGGTCTTCCCTAGTATCATACTCATACACTGTCACGCGGTTCTTTTTCCATTGTGGGGTGGTAGAAGTGATGAGCAGCAACTTTTGGTCGTGATTGACAATTTGGTAGTTGTGGGTCTCTGAGTCTAAGGGAATGTTGCTAATCCGTCTCCATTCTCCTCTAGCTGGGTTGTAGACCTTCATGACTGGGATGTCACAGATACAATAGATCTCATCTTTAAAGACACAGGCTTCCTGAAAATCACTTCGCTTAAGAGATGCACAGTTTAGCCACATATTATGGCTGGGATCGTAGCAGAGCATACGCTTACTGTTGACAGCATAAAGATAGTTTTGAACTACTATTAGTTCAAAGGAATAAAACGAATGGGGTACAGGAGCCACCAGTGCCCACTGGTTCCTCTGAACACTGTAGCATTCCACTTCCTTCAATTTGACTCCAGTGACAGGGTCTCGTCCACCCAAAATGTAAATGTAGCCATTCAGATAGGCCACATCCATGCCTTCCCGACACAGCAGGCGATCTGCTAGTTGCTGCCAACTATTCTGGGCTGGCTTATACACCCAGAGGTCTTTCCTGGGTTGGGCAGCTAGGTAGATGTCATGATCTGGAGAGACACAGACAGCCGAAGACGTGATAGTCTTAGTGTGTGCCGAGCTAGTCAAAGGTGAAGGCATTGTGTAAATGTCACCGGAGTAGGGGTCATAGCAGAGAAAGGGATCTCTGGGGTGACCAAAGAAGATCACCATCTCCTTGGCACACATTCCCAGCCTCTGGGGTGGCTTCTCGGCCACAGATACAACAGAGCTGCTGCTGCTGCTGCTGCTGCTACTGCTGCTGCTGCTGCTGCTGCTACTGCCGCCTCCACTGCTGTTTGGCTTCGACCCCAGAGGCTTGTACAACATATCCCCATAGCGCATCTGCAGGGCCCCTTCAATAGCGTCCAGGCAGTACTTCTTCACAATGGGCTTGGTCAGCAGCCCTTCCAGGTAGTCCCGGTCCTCTTCAGTGAAGTATGCCCAGCGCACACACTTCAAGACCTCGGCCGCACTGGGCCCTCGCTCTTTGGGGGCCGCCTCCAGCCACTGCACGGCCACGTGACAAACGGTCCGCTCGCTCTCTATGTCCAGACTATCCAGGCGCAGGACGGCCAGCAGCTGGGCCAGGGTGAGGTCGGCCAGCGTCTCCTCGCGGATGCTACCCATCCTGCTCAGCTGCTTGAAGTTGTGCGCGATGAAGGACTGGGCCTGAGCCCGCAGCTTGTGGTGGTCGAAGGCGTCGGCGAACTTGAGGATGGGGGTGCAGTTGGCCAGGTCCAGGCGGCGAGCCAGGAAGGAGGCGCAGGCCTCGCGCACGTACTCCAGCTGCAGCATGTCGGAGGCGGCGTACAGCCGCTGCACGTTGGCCTCGCTCAGCGACACGCGGCCCGTGTAGCAGTAGTCCACCAGCACCTCGAAGGACTCGGCGTCCACGTCGTGGATGGTCACGCTGGCCTGCTGGCTCTCGAACATGCCGCCCGTGAACATGCTCTTGAAGTAGGGGCAGGCGGCGGCCAGCACGTTGCGGTTGCAGGAGAAGAGGCGGCCGGTGCCGGGCCCGCTGCCGGGCGTCACCACCTCGATGGTCACGTCGCACAGCAGCTGCGCGTCGTAGAAGGCCTTGAGCTGCGCCAGCAGGGCGGCCGAGTGCGCCGTGTCCTTCAGCTCCTCGGGGCCCGTGAAGAAGGCCGACACCGAGGGCTTGGAGATCCTCTTGGGCCGCCTCCCGCCGCGGGGGCTGGCGAGGCGGCGGGAGCGCGGGGCGTCTTCCCGGGCCTGCATGGTGGAGATGGCGGCGGGGCGCGGAGGGCGAGAACGGCGGCGGCGGCGGCAGGCAACCGGCTCCTCCTCACCCTTCCCTCGGCGTCGTCCCGGAATAGACTGCGAAACCAGCCGCCCGGACTGAACTCGGCCCTTCGTCGCGGTACCGCCTCCCTTTATCGCGCAGACTGTGCCTGACTCACCGTTTACGTTCCGCGCCCTTTCTCCGACTCAGCTCGCCTCATACGACCGCTGGCTGCCGCCTCGAGCCGCCCGCTGCCGCGCTGGCGAAACCGGTAGACGCCCGGACGAACTACCGCTCCCAGGGTGACTTTCGCGCCGGGTGGAATGATGGGATCCTCTGCACTTCCTGACCGAGACCGGTGGGACGGGTGCCGCTTTGCATGTCGGGAGTTGTAGTTCGCATAATGTGGTTCGGTTTCCAGTCAGGTGATGATTCCCCTCCCCCTCGCCCTATGATGATAAAAGAGCTTCAGCTTTGAAACCGCTTGATTATTCATTGACTAGGTTACTTCACTGTGTAAACTTCCATTTTCTTAAAAAGAGGATGATAGTATTTCACCGATGTGTGTGTGGATGAAGTGACGGATATTAGAGGATGGTTTGATATTTTTTTTACTAGAATAATAACACACTAGTCTGTGCCCAGAATTTTTTTTTTTTTTTTTGGTTCCGGTCATGAGGCCTGAACTCTGGGCTTGAGCGCTGTCCCTCAGCTCTTCAGCTCAAGGCTAGCGCTCTACCACTTGAGCCACAGCGCCACTTCCGGCTTTTTTTCTTTCTGCTTATATGTGATGCTGAGGAATCGAACCCAGGGCCTCAGGCATGCAAGGCAAGCGCTCTACCACCGAGCCACCTTCCCAGCCCTGTGCCCAGATTTAAAGTCAGTAATTGTCAGCTTTCCTCTGAAATTGTCAAAAATGAGGGTCTACTAATCTGAAACCAGGTCAATAAATGTTTAAATTTCTGCAATTTATTTAAGAACTTGTTGGCACCTTAAAGACCATTAACAATATTCTCAATATGAACTAATATCTATAGAGGATCATTACAAAGTCTTAAGGTGACTAAGTTAAAAGAAAAGACATGATGAATGCCACCAGTACCACAGAAGTTGAAGGTTTGGTTTTCTCAAGTAAGCAAAATTTTACCTCTGGGGAGCAAGAATATTTTCATTAAGATAGTATGAGTGTTTTCAAGTTCTCAAACCTTTTGTTAAGTAAAAGAAGCCAGTTCATACTGTTTGACCATTATATGAAATTGCAAAACACTGGAAATTAGTGAATAAAAATCATGAAGATGGGTCACAAAACTAGAGGAACAAAGACTGAACAAATACAGCAGTGGTACTCAGTAGACACTGTTGAAAATGAACTATACAACTTGTGGGAGGGGATGAGAGGGAAAAATGGAAAGAGTGAAGGAGGGGTGACATTGTCTAAAAAGAAATGTGCTCATTACCTGTAATGAGTAACCAGTAACCCCTCTGTACATCACTTTTATAATAACAATAAGACTTTGAAAAATCATGACAGCTGCTAATCCTGGGTGAAGGGTGAAGAAATGGTAGATTGCTATAATTACTGGAAAGGAACATGAGGAAATTTTGAGAGATGAAGCAATTATTTTCTTCTTGTTTGGGGAAGTGGTTATGGATAAATACAATTGCCAAATTCAATGACTGTACTCTTCAGTGCATTTCAAGTATTGGAAATTATAATTCTCTTGGGAAAAGCCTTTTCATAATTGTTGGCCCTAAACAAAGTTGTGAAATTCTTTTCTAGGAAAGCACTGTGTGGATAGTTCAGTGATGAGGCCTTTTCTCATCTAGAACTGTGTGGTTAAAACATTCTAACTCATCACATCTCTGTAGCAATGATGTCTCATATAGCTGTACTCTGTCTTTAAATAAGGAGTTTACAAATAAATGTATGTCTTTTATTAAAATTTTTAGTGTGGTCCTTGGAATTGAACTCAGGACATTAAGCTTGTGAGGCAATACTCTATCACTGAGCTACATACCCAGCCCTTCATAAATCTTTTTTTTAATTCTATTTTTTATTGTCAAGGTGATGTACAGAGGGGTTACAGTTGTATAAGTAAGGTAATAAGTACATTTCTTGTCAAACTTGTTACCCCTTCCCTCATTTTTCTCCTAGTTTCCCTCACTCCCAACCCCCACCCTCAAGTTGTACAGATCATTCCAAACATATATTGTCTTGTGTATATCGATATTGCATTGGTTCCCACCTTTTCCTTTGTGTCACCATTCTGTTGTTCCTCTTCCCTTCCCTAATTTAAATAAGTGTATATACAATACCAGGGTCCCAAAATCAAATACAGTGACAACTGGGAATATACCATAAGGGAAAGAACGTACAAAAGAAACAAAAAAATCAGAGTACATTAAAAACAACAACAAAGAAAAACCTCTTCTGTCCATGTCATGGAGTTCATTTCGCTTAGCATCATCTTATATGGTCACATGTACATAGCTATTGAGCTATTCTGCTCATCTACGATTATCCTAGACTTATACTAATTATTGCATATAAGGGAAACTATGGGACCTATGTTTCTTTATAAATCTTATATTACTAAATTTTGCCACACATTAGGGTAGTAAAGATGTTCATATATGGTTTAAAATGCCTAAAATAGAACAAATACAAAAAGAACAAAACCCCTTTTTAAATTACACAATTATATTTTTTTCTTTTTAATGTCACAAGCTTATTTCCTAGAGTTAGTTTATTGAAACCTAAAATAATTCCCACAAGCCAAGAAATGTTTGCGATTCATAAAAAATATACCCATAAGAATGTGTACTTGTAGTTGTGCTTTATGAATATCCATAAAACATTTCCATGCTTCTTGATATGTTTACTCCATTTGGATAAGAAACAAGCAAATAAAAATAAAGCACATTTATTATGCTGATCTAAGCTTTTCATCCAAAAGTTCAAAAATGGCTTCTTCATCTGCAGATTGAAGCAATCTCTGAATTAGCTGATCCAAGTATTTCTCACCACACAAAAATTCCTGATAAAAAGAGAAAGTTAGTATAAGCCTGATGCTATAGTTTATATATGGAATGTCCACTAAAGGCTCATGCAGCGAGGGCTTGGTCTTCAGTATTATGAAAGTGGTGGTAATTTTTTTTTTTGGTCGGTCATGGTGCCTGAACTCTGGGCCTGGGCGCTGTCCCTCAGCTCTTCAGCTCAAGGCTAGCGCTCTACCACTTGAGCAACAGCACCACTTCTGTTTTTTGTTTTTTTAAAAAAATTTGCTTATGTGGTACTGAGGAATCAAACCCAGGGCCTCATGCCTGCAAGGAGTGGTGGTAATTTTTAAGATGTAGAGTCGAATGGCTTTAAGAGACCACTGGGGCTGGAACACCTGAATAGCCAGGAGGATCTCAGTTTGTAGCCACTGGGGCAAGTACGTCTGTGAGATCCTTATCTACAATTAACCAACAAAAAGCTGGAAATGGAGCTGTGGTTTAAGTGGTAGAGTGCTTGAGCAAAAAATAAAAGCTAAAAAGACAGTTCCCATCCTGAATTCAAGCACCCCAGTATTTCTCTCTCATATGTGCATGCACACACACACACATAAATAACTCAATCCTGCAGGTGTGATGTACTGCTTCTTCACATCCTCTGGATATGGCTAAGAGAAAGTCTCCTTACGCTCACCCCTCTTGTGCCAAGCTTCCAAATTTAATCTGTGTTTTATGATAGCCTCTGTCTCTCTCTGATCTTTGTACAGGCTAGGTAAGCACTCTATCACTTTTTCTAAAATTAGAAATCGTGGGGTTTTGTTTTTGTTTTTGTTTTTTTGGTTGGTCATGGGGCTTGAACTCTGCCCTGGGCACTGTCCCTCAGCTCTTCAGTTAAAGGCTAGCAGTCTTCCACTTGAGCCACAGTACCACTTCTGGTTGTCTGGCAGTTTATTGGAGATGAGTCTCACAGACTTTCCTGCCCTGGCTGTCTTTAAACTGTGATCCTCAGATCTTAGCTTCCAGAGTAGCTAGGATTACAGGCATGAGCCATTGGCGCCCAGCTAGAAATATAGTAGTTTTGAAATCTAGATGTCCTATGAAATTGCTTTTAAATGGCTCAAAAGCAACACAGACTTTATAGAGAGAGAAATAAGGTAGGAAAAAAGACAAATGGAATATAGAAAAAAATGTTAACAATTGTTAAATCTACATATAGGGCATGTAGTATTTGTTGATCGAGTCTTCAAAACTATGTAAGCTTGAACAATTTCAAAAATAACACTAAGAGCAAACACTTCTCTCTGATGTTTACTGGGTAAAATTGTTTCAGTTGCTGGGCACTGGTGGTTCACAACTGTAATTCTAGCTACTGGGGAGGCTTAGGTTCTAGGATCGAGGTTCAAAGCCAGCCCAGGCAGGAAAGTCTGAGAGTCTCTTATCTCCAATATACCATTCAGAAAAAGCCGGAAGTGGCACTATGGCTCAAGTGGTACAGTGCTAGTCTTGAGCGTAAAGAGACTCAAGGAAATGCCCAGTCTCTGAGTTCAAGCACCAGGACCAGCAAGAAATCAGTCAGTCAATCATATTAATGGTCAGTTGGGCAGTGGTAGTTCATGCCTATAATCTTAGCTACTCATATTTCAGAATATGAGAATCAGGGTTTGAAGCCACCTTGAGCAGATTCTCCAATTTATCAGTATAAGTTAGCTTTGAGAAAAAAAAAAAAGCCAAAAGAGGGCTTGAGCCCTTGAATTCAAGCCCTATCACCAGCATAAAAGGAAAGGTATTACCAGTTATAATACTGATCATCACTGTAAGCAAAACAACAGGAAAAAATAGGGTGTAATCAGATCAATGTGGCTGAATATATTTGGTTAATACTTCATGTTTCCTTAGGAAAGGGAAGTTAGCAAATAATTTTTCTTTTCAACATGGTTGTGCTATGCACCTTTGCAACATGGCCATATCCTGCTGATTTTAGGAAGTGGTATAAGATACACAGAAATCTGTCAACATTGAAAACAAAGATGTCTACTTTGCAAAATCAGAACTTTAATTTTGAGTAGAAAATTGAACAGAATCTAATGAAAGAAGCCTTACATATTCATAAACCAAAATATGTATATGGAAACTTTCTATCTTTTGTTTTTCCCACACAATACTTTCTGGGAAACAGTTCATTTTCCCCATTCAGTAGCTGCACAAGGAAAGTTTTCCATGCTCTCTGATTAATGTGTTAATTAATGTTAGCGTTGTTAGATGGGATTTAGATATGTAGTGTTCAAATAATCTGAATAGGGTTTTCCTTTAATAGTATAGTATTGGAGGCATCAACTCGTGTGACCCCATCTGATTTCCTGTGTGCATTGAGGGTGCATGCTGGCATGCATTCCCTCTGGGGAAGAAGTGGGAGCCCCTTCCTCCAAGTCTGGGTAAAGGTCCCACGCTCCTCCAGCTCAAGTAAAGGTTTGCAGGAAGTGCCATTCGTGCTTCTCTGTTAACCCCAAAGAACAAAGCCTCAAGATTCCTTCCGTGTTTTTCAATGGAGCCCCACCTACACTTTGCTTCCTCTCTATTATCTTTGATCACATGAAACTGCTCCAACTCTTCCTGCTCACTGATTAAAGGTTGCTAACTTTTTCTTATTGTCCACATTCCCTCAAAATTATTTAAGGCCAGCTTTCTGTCCCTGATTGTCCCGTGACTGCAGACATCTTCTATGTCCCTATGCCGTATATAAGTATATGATGTTTTAATAAACTTTGTCTATACTCGTGCTCGTGTGATATGGTCCCTTTCTGCCTACCAGATGCATGTTTCCCGGTCACCAATGAGGAATCAGCAACAGTAAAGTTATAACACCTGAATCTAATGACTATACATTATGGTATATAGAATTTGAAGATGCCTATTGGTGTACAAATCTCATATAATTCCTCTCTTAACTGCAGAACATCACTTTAGTGGTTAGGTGATCAGCTGATTTTTTTTTTTTTTTAATCTGTATATGAGAGTACTGGGGTTTGAACTGAGGGCCTGGGGCTGTCCTTTAGCTTTTTCACTCAAGGCTAGCATTCTACCACTTGAGTCACAGCTCCACTTTGAGCTTTTTCTTGGTTAATAGGAGATAAGAGTCTTATAAACTTTTCTGCATAGGCTCGTTTCAAACTGTGACCCTCAGATGTGTCTTCTGAACAGCTAGGATTACAGATGTGAGTCGTGGGTGCCTGGCACCAGTTCACTCTGAGCTAATAATAAAACTACAACAACAAACAATATCCTGATGGAGTTCACCTAGTCATGTGAGCCCTTAAAACTGCCTGAAGCCAGTGCTGCAAGAGGAAATGCAAAGCTGAGCGAGAATATTTGGAGCAAGCCACTTAGAAAGTAACTTCTGGCAGTTGGTCTGAGAGCAGCCACAAGGTGACTGCCAGCAAGAGCATGGGGCTTCAGTCCTACAACTCAAGACCATGGAATTCTGACAAGTAAGAATGTGGGAAACAAATCCTCATCTCCAGAAAAGCATGAAGATTCCAGCTTTGTGAGACAGCAAAAGGAAAACAACTCACTTATACCTGGAATTCTGGCCCATGCCAATCATGAGACAGGGTTGGAGCAAAACTCAAAGCCTTTGCTTAGCATGTGTGATGTTCTGAGTGAACCATCAAGGAAAATTCTAAGAATGAATGGTATTGTTCTAAGCTACTAAATTTGTGGCAATTTACTACCCAGAAATATATGTGTATGAGTATAACAAAGAATTTGGGATTTAAACAATAACTTTCAAACTAGCATAAAATTATATATCTTAGCAAACTACTTAGAATGCTTATCATTTTTTAAGTGTCCATACTGAGGCTTGAATTCAAGGCCTGGGTGCTGTCCCTTAGCATTTTTGTTCAAGGCTAGTGCTCTACCACTTGAGCCACAGTTCCAATTCAGGCCTTTTGCTAGTTAATTAGAGAGAATCTCACAAACTTTCCTATTTGGGATGGCTTCAAACTGCTATCCTCAGACTCCTCAGTAGCTAACATTACAGACATGAGCCACTGATGACCAGCCATGTTTATAAATTAGCTTAATGATTTTAAACTGCTTGTGTAATATCTCAGACTTAACTGTCTAGATTTTGATTTTACTTCTTCCTAAAGCAAAGCTACATAAAGCACAGCAAGTAGTATTACCTTAATGTCACGAACTTCATATGCTATCCTGTGGTCAGTGACTCTATCCTGGGTGAAATTGTATGTCCTGATTCTCTCTGACTGGGCTCTTGTTCCCACCTGTCCAAATCAAAAGGCAAATTCAAATCAATGATGACAAAAAAACAATTCATACCTTTCTCACAATACCAAATATAAGTGGCTTCTCTAACAGTATCAATATTTTCTAAAAGTCTTATATACAAAGACAAAGGCAGGAAGAACTTAATAAGTGCACTATAGTAGTTTGGGACTGAAGATGTGGCTCAGTGGTACTGCACATATTCAGCATGCACAAGGCCCTGAGTTCAACTCCTAGCTGCACTCAAAACAATACAAAACAAAAACAAAATAAAAACAGCAATACTACCAGTTTATAGAGCTTCATAATTTAATCCTCCAGGCCTCAGTCTCCTGAGTAGCTAAGATTACAGATATAAACCACTGGTACTCAGAGGTATTTTCATTTGTGTGAGAAAACACTATTTTCTACACAAAATGATGATTGTTTTATTTTATTTTTTATTTTTCGGCCTGGGCGCTGTCCCTCAGCTCTTCAGTTCAAGGTTAGTGCTCTACCACTTGAGCCACAGCGCCACTTCCAGCTTTTTTCTTTTTTCTTATATGGTGCTGAGGAATCGAACCCAGGGCCTCAGGCATGCAAGGCAAGCGCTCTACCACTGAGCCACCTTCCCAGCCCTGATGATTGTTTTATACTTGTTACATTATTACATTGTTACACTAAATCTTACCTGCAGTTTTCTAGCACTTTGTTGTTGACACTTTTCTTTCTCAATAATTTGTTGGTAGAGTCTAGCTCTCAGCACACGCAAAGCTATTTCTTTATTTTTTAGCTGTGACCGTTCTTGTTGGCACTCTACTACTAGACCTGAAAAAAAAAAGGGACATTCTGAATGAGAAACATTAATTACAAGATCACAAAAAAAAAAAAAAAAGATTTTAGATTCATACGCTTTAGAAACAGATGGTAGCCGGGTGCCGGTGGCTCATGCGTGTAATCCTAGATACTCAGGAGGCTGAGATCTGAGGATCCCGGTTCAAAGCCAGCTGGGGCATGAAAGTTCATGAGATTCTTATCTCCAATAAACCACTCAGAAAACTGGAAACTAGAGCCATAGCTTTGAGCTGAAGAGCGGAGGGACAGTGCTCAGGCCCAGAGTTAAAGCACCCTCCTCTCCCCACCAAAAAAAAAAAGAAACAGATGGTAGTATGTAATAGGTACCTGTTTTAGAATCTGATGTCTAAATGAACTATCTCACATGAGAAGGCTGAAAGTACAGACATTTACCTTTACTTTTATTCCCTGAACTTATCCTCTCCTTTCTCAATTGTCCAGGTATCTATGCAATGATGCCAATGCTACTCACTGTTGCTCTATTTCTATTCTGCTCAAGGAGTACTCAGCCTTTCCATACACAAAACTACAAAGCTAATTTGTTTTTTTCCATTACTGGGGCTTGAACTCAGGGCCTGGGCACTGTCCCTAAGCTTCACTCAAGGCTAGTATTCTACCACTTGAGTCACAGCACACTTCCAGCTTTTTCTGTTTTTGTGGTACTGAGAGATGATATGGAATCTAAGAAATGGGAGGATCCAACGCAAAACAGAGAAGAAAATCCTCTGGGATGTGCCCCAGAGAGAAACTACTCTAGTTCAGACTAAGTTGATGGAGTGATCTGTTAGGGAGTCTCCAGAAAGCACTAGCACTGTGGAAAAAGATTGATTTGATTTTATACAGCTTTTAGAAGCAATAGAAAGACAACAATTACAAGAAAAGCTGGGTACAGTCACAGCTGTACTCCTAGCTACTCAGGAGGCTAAGACTTGAGGAAAGTGGTTCAAAGCCAGCCAAGGCAGAAAAGATAGAAGTAAAACTTTCATCTCCAAATAACCACCAAAAAAAAACATAAGTAGAGCTGTAGCTCAAGCAATAGAGTGCTAGCCTTGAGCAAAAAAACTCAAGGACAGCACCGAGGCCTTGAGTACAAGCCCCAGAACTGGCCAAAATAAAAGAGTAAGCAGATGAAAATAATGAGGTATTAATTCTAACAAATGAAATCACTGTATACTACCTGGCGTAACAGTACTCTTTTAGCTGTTCATTTTATGAAAGCAGTGAATAGCAAGTTCCCAAAATACAAGTACTTAGAAGAAGAAATATGGTACATAAGAAAGCTAAAATCCTCCTCTATATGGAAAAGTTTACATACCTTTACAATTATTGATCCCAAGAGCACTATCTGTCTATTATTAAGGTAATTACCTGAAGAATTTAAGGAGGTTGCATCTAGAAAATGAGAAGTTAAGATCAAAAAGAAGAGAAGGGGAGATGGAGGAGATGCCCAATTTTGTTATAGGATTATACCATTCACCTTTTTTTTCTTTTTTCTTTTAGTGGTGGCACTTAAGTTGGAACCCAGGGCCTTGATCTTGCTAGGTAGGTACTCACTCCACCACTTGAGCCATGCCCTCAGGCCAGGACTTTTAAAATTATACAGAAAAATTATAATAAATTATATAAAATAATTTTTAAATGAAAAGGAAACACAAAATCCTTTATAAATATGGAAAATGATATAAACATAGACAATATATCTATCATGTAACATTTTAGTTAAAAGCATTATGCCTATGTGTTGATGGTCCATTAAATTATATTGCCTTGTGATATCAGCCATGATTTGCACACAATGATGAAGCAAGTAAAGCCTTTCTCAGAATGTGTCCCTGTTGTCAGTACAGTATATTGAAACTCACCTTAACTAATGTGAGACTAATTCACAGTATCCCAGAATTACCAATATCGAAATGATGCTTACACAGCAAAGTGCAATGGAGCTAGCAGTCAAGGTATCAGGTAACAAAAGATTTAGAGCAGTAGCATGTCCAATCCTGCTTCTGTGTTGCATCTATATTTGGGCTGGCTCCCTCCTGTTGCTTACCCCTGCCTAGCAAACTGGAGCAGCTTCACTGAACAGATGTGCTTTCTGCATCACTTGAGAGAGGTACCATTTCCCAACAGGGAGGGAATAGAAACGCATAGGGATATCAGATCCACAATCCCAGTGTCATCTTTAAAGGAACCAGACACCAGCACAGAGCTGCTTCCTTTTAAATGCTAGTAGTTTTACACAAGGAAATGCATAAAAACAAAGTGGCTGGCTGACCTGTGGGGATGTGGACAAGCCTAACGGCACTGTCTGTGGTATTAACATGTTGACCTCCTGCACCTCTGGCTCGAAATGTATCTACACGCAAGTCCTTGGGGTCCACTTTCACATCTACCTAGAACAAAAAGGTAACGCAAATAAATTCTTTTTTTTTTTTTTTGTCGATCATGGGTCTTGAACTCTGGGCCTGGGCACTATCCCTCAGCATTTCAGCTCAAAGCAAGCACTCTACCACTTGAGCCACAGTGCCACTTCCAGTTTTCTGGTGATTTATTGGAGATAAAATCTCACAGACTTTACTGCTAGGGCTGGCTTTGAACCTGGATCCTCAGATCTCAGGCTTCTGAATAGCTAGGATGGCAGGTGTGAACCACCAGTGCCTGGCTAATGTAAGTAAATTCTATAGTTGATAAATTTAATGTTAAGCTCAGGCTGAGATGTTTCAAATAGACTGAACTGTTTTGTATTAAGCCACTAGGCTAAGAGAAGAAATAATGCAAAAAATGAATTATACAATCCCTATTTCAAATAAGATGCTTTTTCTTTTTTTTTCCTTCCTTTTTTCTGTTTGGATTTAGGGACTAAACCCAAACATCTTGGTCAGGGGAAATGGGTCACCTTACTTAGGGAAGAGCTGAGATTTCTCATTAGAGATCTAAAGTATAATCAGTATTCAAAAAGAGGTTTTCCTTGAAGCTAAGCCTTTCAGCACAGCAGTCATTTAAATGGAGTGGTTTCAAGTTGTGCGGGTAAGGTTACCTCATCTGGCTGAGGGAGGACAATAACTGACATGGTTCCAGTGTGAATGCGCTGCATCCGAGAGGACAGCCCCACTTCGGGGATTCGCTGGACGCGATGGATCCCACCTTCATACTTCAGATGTTTGTACACATCATCACCTGAAATGCGGGCAGCTGCATGATGCAGTCCTCCTACGGGAGAACACTCAGAAATATCACTCAGAGTTCTACTGAGATGAGAACAGTAGGCAGGTATGAAGTTTCACGATGCAGATATATTATTAGTGCATAAAAGAAAATGTGTCAAAGTAGTACTTGTCTCTAGAGAACAAGATAAAAGTTTTACAGTTTAAAAAAAAATTGCTGCTGTTTTGAGACAAGGTCTCACTAATTTCTTTTTTGTCAGTTGTGGGGCTTGAACTCTGGGCTTGGGTGCTGTCCTTGTGTTCTTCAAGGCTAGTGCTCTACCACTTGAGCTACAGTGCCACTTCCGGTTTTCTAGTGGTTTATTGGAGATAAGAGTCTCAAGGACTTTCCTGCTTGGGCTGGCTTTGAACCATGATCCTCAGATCTCAGCCTCTTGAGTAGCTAGGATTACAGGCCTGAGCCACTGGCTCAAGCTAGCCTTGGATTCTTGGTCCTCTTGCTCTCGAGTGCTATCATTTTAGTTGTGCATGATCACGTCTGGCTTGAACATTTTTAGTTCCTATTTTCTATAATAAACATGTTTTATTTTTGTGAAACTAGAGTTTTAATTCAGGGTTCCCCACTTACTAGGCAGGTAGTCTACCACTTGAGCCACACTCTTAGTCCACTTTTGTGCCAGTACTGGGGTTTGAACTCAGGGCTTCAAGAACCCCTTTCACTGGAACTCTACAATTCGAGCCATACCTCCACTTCCAACTTTTTGCTGGTTAACTTAGAGATGAGTCTCACAGACTTGTCTACTTGAACTGCTATTCTAAGATTTCAGCCTCCTCAGTAGCTAGGATTACAGGTGTGAGCCATCAGTACCAGACCACAGTAATAGTTTGAATTCTCCAGGAATTAGTGTCAGTGAAAGCCAGCATCTAGATTTCCCTGAAAAATTTGTTTCCTTCTTCCCAATGCACAGTTATTCTGTTCACCTATAAATGTGGTCTCTGGAGAACTTAGGAGAAAAATTAAAAGTAACTCTACTATTACTCTCCCTTCAATGAAATCAATCCTCTTCCCTCATGGGGTGTGGAGTCTATTTTCTGGCTTAAGTCTGATGAGGAATCTTTTTTTTTCTATGATTCCAGGAAGATGAAACACTTGCTCACTTGATCCAGATCTTATTCTTTTAGAGATGAAGTAACAACTTAATAGTTTCCTATTAGTTTACTTCTAGGAATACTGTGATTAACACAGGTCACAAGAGTCAAAATATTCTGATTGCTGCTTGTCCAGTAACTACTAGGCCCTCCTTGCCTTCCGGAGCCGAGTGCCATTACTTGGTCCCTGCTACCCAGGAGCCCAATCACTCCCACAGCTTACAGGCTTCTAAGTCAAAGACCAGAGTTCCTTCCCACTGTAAGCCTCAGCTTATGGAAAAAAATAATCACAGAGCTTTTCAATGGTACCAAGTCTCCCTTGACAAATTTATTTCTCACAGTAATGGTGAAATGTCTTCTGGACACATAAAATTAGTAGTATTACTTCATGTGACCTCCTCTGAGTTCAACTGATGAATAGAGAATAAGAGAACACATAATTACAAACACTAAACTGTGCAGGAAGGAGGAGGAATGTGAGGCATCTCACTGATTCCCTTTAACTTGGAAAATATTTCTACACATTAGATTGCAGGTTACAGCATAACAGTGTCTGACTCATTCACAAGAGTCGTTACCTTCCACTTCCATGGGGACTATTTTATAATCATTCCGCTTGGATTATTGATGCAATGCTTAAGTATTGTTTATATTTGTAAAGTCACAAAACTGTGACTTTAAAATTTCATATATAAATTTTCACATAAAATTATTTTCAAGCTCTGTTTTTAGTTTTGTGTGAATCTCTGGGTAGCTGTAAGTTCTCTCAATTAATTATTAAAAAGTTATACAGACACATAAGATTTTATATAAATATTTTATTAGGTATGTTCATTTTTTTTCTCTATTTTAGCCATTCCCTAGAAACATTTTTTTTCTTTTCCTAAATGGAATATCAATTAAATATCCATTAAAATTTTTTCATGATTTCAGTTTTCAGTCTTTAATTTTAAAGGTATTTGAATTTTGTGTGTGTGTGTAAAGGGGGAGGGAGGTACTCAGGTTTGAATTTAGGGCCAGCACAAGCTGGCTAGGCAAATGCTCTGCCATTTGACTCATACTTCTCTCCCTGGAATACTGTTTTCTCACAAAAGCTCTGGTTATACAACTTCCACATTTACTGGATATCTCTACAAGTATGCACACTATAACCACAAACTTAAGAGCAGTGTCCTACTATCTTTAAGACCCTAGATTTAATTTCTAGCACCATCCTCAGGAACTAGTTTATACAAAGACATATATCTCCATGTTTATTGCAGCACTGTTCATAATAGCCAAGATTTGGAAACAACCCAGATGCCCCACTAATCATGAGTGGATCCAAAAATTGTGGTAACTATATACAATGGAATATCATGCAGCCATTAGAAAGGACAAAATAATGCCATTTGCAGGGAAGTGGATGGAACTAGAGCAGATTATTTTGAGCGAAGTAAGCCAAGAACAAAGAGACAAACGGCACATGGTCTCCCTGATATGTGGATGCTAAAGCCAAAATACAAGAAGATATGGCAAACAGGACTCAAGAAACAAAAGACAGCCATCCATTTTGTCATATCATTGCTAAATGACTCCATGTTCTGGACCATATATATGGTAGATATATGCATCCAACAGTGGAAAGCCAGGAGTAGGAACAGAATAAGTGGGAACAGCCCACACTAAGCAAAAGGAAAGAAATGTAAACATCACCTGATGTGGAAAAAATAACTTGTAATGTCAAAGCTCATAGAATTCACAAACTGTACAGACCATGATAATGACAATTTGCCTTGTGAAAATTAAAATGTGCTTATGACTAAAAAAAAAAATTTCCAGCACCAAAGCAACAATAAAAACAAACCATCAAGAACCCACTCATCTTCCTAAATGATCTCAGCTCTTTCCAGTTTTTATTCATTGGCATAAATGAATGAGACAATCTATCCAGCTAAGAAGATCAGAATGTCTGTTGTTCATTCCCTCTGTGTCGAAGAGATGAATGGATATAGCGTGGCTCTGAATCAGAAGGACTTAAATTTAATCCCAGGATTGCCATTACTTATCATCTGATCCTGGATGACTCACTTCCCGAGTCTAGATGTTCATCTGTAAGATGAAGTTAATAGTATCTGTCTCACAGAACTCACAGCACCACAGGGATGTAAATGTTGTGTACACAGGTTAAACTAGACAAGCATACTAGGCAAGAATACTCTTTTATATAGTGCATGTGCTCTTTCAAGGTCTCTTGTATGTAACCCTATTCTTCATTCAAAAGCCAAACTATGTTTGGATTCTTCTTTTTTTGGTACCTAGATTTGAATTTAGGGCCTTGTACTTTCACTTGGCTTCTCCATTCAAGGCTTTATCACTTGAGCTATACTTCCATGGTCAGCTAGTTAATTGGAGGTTAAGTGTCATGGACTTTCCAGAGACTTCAAACCAGGATCTCAGATCCTGACCTCCTGAGTAGCTAGATTACAGGCATGAGCCACCAGTGCTGGGCTAAGAGCAATGTTTTTTTTAAGGAATGGTAGATACCTACCCTCCACAGGAAATTTTTCTTCAATTCACATGTCCTTTCCTTCCTTCCTTCCTTTTTTCTTTTTTTGCCAGTCCCAGGGCATGAACTCTGCGACTGGGCTCCTTTGGCTCAAGGCTAACACTCGGTCACTTGAGCTACAATGCCACCTCCAGCTTTTTTGGTGATTAATTAGAGATAAGAGTCTCAAGGACTTTCCTGCCTTGGCTGGCTTCAAATCATAATCCTCATATCTCAGCCTCTTTGAGAGCTAGGATTACAGGTGTGAGCCACCAGTGCCTGCCTTTTTTTTTTTTTTAATAGGTCCTTGGGGCTTGAACAATAGGTCCTCAGGCCTGAACAATGTCCTTGAGTGCTTGTGTGTGTGTGTGTGTGTGTGTGTGTGTGTGTGTTGGAGGCTAGCACCTAACCACTTAAGTCACATCACCACTTTTGGCTTTCTGTGGTTAATTAGAGATAAGGGTAATGTAGCCTTCCCTGCCTAGACTGGCTTAGAGCCACGATCCTCAGATCTCAGCATCCTGAGTAGCTAGTATTTACAGTCATTAGCTACCAGTGCATGGCTCACATATTCTTTATTAGCAGAATAATATAGGGCCAGGTAGAATGGCTCATACCTGCAATCTCAGCTTATTAGAAAGACAAAAATTGGGAATGTGGCCCAGTAGTAGAGTGCTTGCCTAGCATGCATGAAGCCCTAGGTTTCATTCCTCAGTACCACATAAACTGGAAAAGCCAGAAGTGGCACTATGGGTCAAGTGGTAGAGTGCTAACCTTGAGCAAAGAAGCTCAGAGACAGTGCCCAGGCCCTGAGTTCTAGACCCTGGACTGGCAAAAAAAAAAAAAAAAGACAAAAATTGAGAAGATTATAGTGAAAGGCCAGCCTCAGACAAAAAAAAAACAAAAACAAAAATGAACAACAACAACAAAAAAGAACCAGCAATGCTTCCATGTCAAACATCAATCACTAAGCCAGAAATGGTTATATGTGCCTTTAAGGATCTCAGCTATATGGAAGGCAAGAAGAGAATCAAGACCTGAGGGATGCACCAGACAAAAATGCAAGATACTCTCTGAAAATGAACTAAAGCAATAAGAACTAGGGTCATAGCTCTAGTAGCAGAGAACCTGTCTAGCCAGTATAAGACCTTGAGTTCAAACACAATACTGAAAAATAAAGAAACAAACAAGCCTCTGTATTTACATTACTTAACAGTATTTAATAGATACAAGACCAGTTTTTTTTTTAAATAAAACAACATGGTGATAACCAAGATCAAGGATAAAATAATTTTAAGTACTTTTTAATCAACAAAATCTTCAAGTATACCTACCATAATCTGCTGGCGTATAATTCAACAATTCAAATGTCCAGTGTTTATAGCAAGAATAATTTTGGTACATGTCAAATATTTCTCGGGTAAACTGTTGACATATATCTCCTAAAAGAAAATAGGCAAAGTACAAAATTTGAAGCAAGACATCTTTAAGTACAAGCCTTTTAGGGAATAAGTACTATTTTCAAAGACAAAACATTTAACGGACTTTCCAAGCCATATTAATATCAAATCAAGGAACATCTGAGTGTTGTTTTAGAGCTTTTACAATAATTTGTTTCTAACCTCCTGTGGTTCTTCCAGATGACACTTCTAAAATCACATCACTTTTGTCATATTTCTCCTTTGGCACTAGACTCTGAAAAAGCTGGAAAAGAAAGCATCAGCACTGATATGTATATCTTCCTTGATGTATTATTATTACTTGAACTTAAATAAATGCCCTCAAGCCACTAAAAAAGCCAGTAATTAGCAAAATTATATAGCATTTCCATGAGTTGAGTTCCAAAATGCTATTATGAGTAAATCTAATCAGAGTAAAATAGTTGATCAATTCATGTTAACAGTGAAGTTGCTGTCTAGTTGTTTTTTTCAATGCTATCAGATTATCTTAATTTTCTATAACATAGACATTTAGATCAAAGTCCAGAATGCTCCATCTAATTTTCTTCAGATTTTATCTCTTAAAATTAGTTCCAACCAGTAGTTTCTTTCATCTAATAAATGAAACAAGGCTTTGGAAGTGTTCATTTAGAATAATGAAGACTTTAATATATGATTACATATTCTCCCCTCTAATAAATGATGGTAGAGACCATACTGTGCCTTGCAATCTCCATGGAGTCCCTCTCTTTAAAGATTGTGTTGAGTGTGTTAAGTACTCTCCAGATAAAGTTCAAGTATTTTCCCAGATGTGACAAGCCAAGAAAAAAAAAGAAGTGTGTGTGGGGGGGTGGGGGGGTGGAAAAGGATACATTTTTGTTTTGTTTTGTTTTTTGCTTTTTAAAAAAGCGTTAGCTATATCAGTTATATGGGGAAGGTTTCATAGTTAACATCTAAAAAAGACTTTTTGTTTTTTTGTGCTGGGTCTGGGGCCTAAGCACTGTCTCTGAGTTTTTGTTTGTTTGTTTGTCGGTCATGGGCCTAAACTCTGGGCCTGGGTGCTGTCCCCTCAGCTCTTCAGCTCAAGGCTAGCACTCTACCACTTGAGCCATAGCGCCACTTGCACGTTTTTCTGCTTATGTGGTGCTGAGGAATCGAACCCAGGGCAAGGAAAGCACTCTACCACTGAGCCACTTTTCCAGCCCTCTCTAAGCTTTTTTTGCTCAAGGTTAGCATTCTACCATTTGAGCCACAGCTTCACTACCGACTGTGTTGGTAGTTTAGTGGTGATAAGTCTTACAGACTCCTGCAAGAGCTGGCTTTGAACTGTGATCCTCAGATCTCAGCCTCTTCAGTAGCTAGAATTACAAGCATGAGCCACTGGTGCTTTGCTAAAAGGAGATTCTTAATGAAGAATCTTCCTGGGGCTGGGAAGGTGGCTCAGTGGTAGAGTGCTTGCCTTGCATGCCTGAGGCCCTGGGTTCGATTCCTCAGCACCACATAAGCAAAAAGAAAAAAACCAGAAGTGGCGCTGCGGCTCAAGTGGTAGAGCGCTAGCCTTGAGCTGAAGAGCTGAGGGACAGCGCCCAGACCCAGAGTTCAGGCCCCACGACCGGATCCAAAAAAATAAATAAAAAATAAAGAATCTTCCACTAGTGGAAGAAAAATGGGGAACCGTTTTCTTATTATTAAAAGATCTAAATCAAGCTAAAAGTACTTATGTGTCATGACTTGCCACTGCCAAATTCCGAAACACTCCATCTCTGCTAGAAATGAGATAGTGTGATAAGATCAGATACCTTACTTTTTAACTGGTTAAAGCAACAATAAAAGTAATTGATACCTCTATTCACCCCACTAGGTCCTCAAAAGCCCCTCTCTTAGATTCAAGTAAGATGATGCAACTATGCCAAAGAGAAATAAGGCACATAGTACTGTGTGGTTTATAAACAAACCATCCATTGAGTTAGAAGGAAAAGCTACCGTAGTTACTATGAATCTTGAGACCCTGGCATACCAGAGCCCTATTAAATCTATTTAAAGACCTATATTTATCAATGGTCTCCATGCCCTTGGATTGATTATAGTAGATCCACACTATACAATTTTTTAACTAAAAACATAACTATCAATCTAATCCATCCCCTTCTAAAACTTAATAAACCCTGACCTTTTCTTTGCCCAGCCTATCTTCTCTTCACTGGCAGGTTAAAAGACTCAGCTTTAAGGGGACAAACAAGTCGTTTAAGGATTTAGGTGGACCTGTTGCAACAATGAGAAGTACAAAATGTCATGTCAAAAACGAGCTTTACAATGTCGGTGTGGGGGGGGGGGGGAGGGAAGGATTGGGTGGGGGGTGGGGGGAGGCTGGGAAGGGAGGTGAAGGGTAAACAAAGGAGGAGGCTGCAATGCTTGGTAAGAAATGTATGCATTATCCTGCCCATGTAATTGTAACCCCTCTGTACAGTATGCTCTCAAATAAAATAAAATAAAATTAAAAAAAAAAAAAAAGACTCAGCTTTGAGTGTGTGTGTGTATGAGAGAGAGAGAAAGAGAGAGTACTGGGGCTTGACACAGGCCTGAGTGTTGTTTCTGACTTTTTTGCTCAAGGATAGCACTCTATCACTTGATTCAGAGCTCTATTTCCAGCTTTTGTGTATGAATATGTGTGGTTAATAGGAGATGAGTCTCATAGACTTTCTTGCCTAGTCTGGCTTCAAACAAGCAATCCTCAGAGCTTAGACTGTTGAACTGCTAGGATTATAGTTTGAGCTACCAGCACCCAGCTCAGCTCTCACTTTAAATTTTGCTCTGGGAGTCACTGTTATATTTACTGATATCCCAATTTCTTCAGAATCATTTCACAGCAAATTACAGCACTATGTCAAGCTTAATTACTTGTCATACTAAGAGAACACTTAATAAATCAGGATTTAGGAAGTACTTTGACCACAAAAGCACAGTTTAACAGAGACAATATTTCTCCATATTAACAATGTTGAGATTAGTTTATATACTACAACATACCTCACTATAGAGGGTGTTGATTTTTTGACCAATGATTTGCCTTTCTTCCAATGCAAGTTCTTGTAACTGCTCTTCATCTTTTTTATTTAGATCTAAAAACCAACAGAAATAACATTTGAAAATGCTTACAGAAAATTTCTTTAAAAAATTCTTATATTATGGGGCTGGGAAGTTGGCTCAGTGGTAGAGTGCTTGCCTTACAAGCCTGAGGCCCTAGGTTCGATTCCTCAGCACCACATAAGCAAAAAGAAAAAAGCCGGAAGTGGCGCTGTGGCTTAAGTGGTAGGGCACTAGCCTTGAGCTGAAGAGCTGAGGGACAGTGCTCAGGCCCAGAGTTCAGGCCCCACAACCGGACCAAAAAAAAAAAATTTCTTATATTAGTCTACTTAGGTATATGTTTTGTTTTTTGAGATGGGGTCTCACTTTGTAAGCCCAAAAGGGCCATAAACTCATGATCTTCCTGCCTTGGTCTCCCAATTGCTGGGATTATTGGTGTGAACCACCATAGCCAGCCTCTACAAGGTGTTACTTCATTTGGAAAGGCAAGGGATTCTACAGTAGAACAAATGGATACTTGGAGAATCAATCACCAAACATTTCTAAGTGCATACAAACATCTCAAAGTGAAAAAGAGTATGATCTTGCACTCACAAAAGTTGTGATTTGAGTCTATAAGTAATTAGAGAAAACAGTGATTAATAAAACATATTTAAAAAGAAGCGGCTAATTAAATCTAAATCCAAATAAGTTTTGGAGCAAATTGAGGTGAATACTTCCTGCTTGATGGTAAACAACCAGAACTCAAAACTCTTTGATGTAGGTTCAGCATAATTTGAACCTCCTTCATTTGTTTAGGAGAAGTAAAAAAAAAAAAAAAGCCATTGAGATTTCTTGATACATTTATATCTAGTGCACTGAAAAAAAACCAACAACACTAGGGAGTTCAAATAAAATATCTCTTTATAACCTGTGCTTCATGAAGACAATGGTCCTTTCACGTTATTTCAAAGCAGAAAGTTAAGTCATGGGACTAGTTTAGCAAAACAAGATAACAATGATACACTGGCCAAGAATTGTGGATTCAAGGACCTCAAAGATCCCAGGATTGCGAATTAAGGGAGAAAATTCTGATAGTAATTACAAGAAAGAAAACAGAAATGAAGAATCATAATTTTAAATGATATAGGACTTCTTTTAAATGTATAAAAGGTTATAATCTTTAATAGAGAGAACTCTATAAATTTCTTCTGAAGTCATACAAGTCAATGGAGTCTGGTGAGAGTCTGGGCCTCATTCATGATTTCAGCATTTAACATTTAATTGGTGCTAGACATTCTTCCAGTTGTTGAGAACACAAGGATGAATAAAACGTGGGTCAGCCCATACTCACAGTTATACTATGTGCTGAGGACACACTGCCAGAGTGTCTCAGTCTAGCCCAATGATAGCACTTGACAAGATTTCAGCATTTAACATTTAATTGGTGCTAGACATTCTTCCAGTTGTTGAGAATACAAGGATGAATAAAACGTGGGGTCAGCTCATACTCACAGTTATACTATGTGCTGAGGACACACTGCCAGAGTGTCTCAGTCTAGCCCAATGATAGCACTTGAGGAGGTCTTCTGAACTAACTCTAATTGTGGATCATCTGCTACAGAATCGCAACATCACCACTCTTACCACATTGTGAGTATATTCCACTAATGGAAATGAAGCTGACAGTTACTCTACAGATATCACCTGGCTCAAAAGAATTAGAAAAATTTTAACGGTGGCTCAGTGGTAGAGCGCCTGCCTTGCATGCATGAGGCCCTGGATTCGATTCCCCAGCACCACATAAGCAAAAAGAAAAAAAGCCGGAAGTGGCGCTGTGGCTCAAGTGGTAGAGCGCTAGCCTTGAGCTGAAGAGCTGAGAGACAGCGCCCAGGCCCAGAGTTCAGGCCCCACGACCGGACCCCCCCAAAAAAAGAAAATTGTTATCTTATAAATTAATTTTGTGGTCACTTATCACCTGCTGTAAGATTCTAAAATATAATTTTCTTCAATTTTTTCATATAAGGATTAGGCAACCTATTATGTCTTATGTTGGGTGATATAGAAGATATAAAAATGAGTAAGACGCAAACCATGTCCTTGAGAATAAACAATGGGGTTAAGGGAGGAGGTTGACACAGCAACATAAAAGGATTATAGTACAAAACAGAAAAAAGTTACAATGCTTGTTTTGTGGGACTGAAACAATATGGCATCAATGCAGGGCACCAGTAGCTTACACCTATAATCCTAGTTACTCTGAAGTTGAGGATCATAGTTTGAACCCAGCCTAGACAGAAAAATCTGTGAGATTCTTATCTCCAATTAACCAAAAACAGCTAGGCATCAGTGGCTTACACCTGTAATTCTAGCTACTCAGGAGACTGAGATTTGAGGATCTTGGTTTGAAGCCAGCCCAGGCAGGAAAGTCCATGATTATCTCCAATAAACTACCAAAAAGCCAGAAATGGAGCTGCCATAGAGTGCTAGCCTAAGCAAAAGAAGCTCAGGGATGATGCCCAGGCCCTGCATTCAAGCCCCGGGACCAGCAAAAAAAAAAAAAAAAAGCCAGAAGCAGATGTTGGCTCAAGTGGCAGAGCCTGAGGAATAGTGCACAGACTTAGTATCATCTCAAAAACAGTAAATATGCATATTTAGCATCAAAGCCAAACTTTTTAAGGGTACTGACAATATTTATGCATGTATGCTGGGGCTTGAATTCAGGACCTGAAACTCCCACATGGTTTTTTCCTATAAGTCTGGTGCTCTATCACTTGAGCCACACGTCCACTTCCAGCTTTTTTGCTAGTTAATTAGTGATAAGAGTCTCAGACTTTTTTTTTTTTGGGGTCCGGTCGTGGGGCCTGAACTCTGGGTCTGGGCGCTGTCGCTCAGCTCTTCAGCTCAAGGCTAGCACTCTACCACTTGACCCACAGCACCACTTGCGGGTTTTTCTGCTTATGTGGTGCTGAGGCTTCATGCATGCAAGGCAAGCACTTTACCACTGAGCCACCTTCCCAGCCCCTCATAGACTTTTTCTGTCGCGGCTGGGAGCAAACCACAATCTTATATCTCAGCCCCCTGAGTAGTTACAGATATAAGCTACCAGCCACCAATACTTATATGTATCAATATTTCAATATTGATATATAAATACATCAATCATGTATTTATACACATAAATATCGTTCACTTACTTTTACACATTGATTCTAATTCTTTAATTGCTTGTTCAGCCTCTTGAATTTCTTGGTAAATGGCTGCAAGTGGTGCCAACTCAGCATGCCTTTGGTGTAAGGACCTTCGGTCCCCTACATTCACAGTGATATCCAGCAAACATTGATGGAGTGATTGGTACTCCTTTTTCAGGTCTTCCATATATTTCTTTAGTGCTTTATGCTTCCACAGCATCTTGGTATCTTGATGGCAATATCTTCTAGACCAATTCTTTTTTAACAGAGGATGGAAAAAGTGATTCTTGTTTTGTCTCAAATCCCACAGCCTTGTATCAAGATGTGTCTGTCTCAATTGGTGAGGATGGAGATAAGTGTGACACTGATGGTAAGCATTAAGTAATGGATGTCTAAACAGCCAAATACACAGGTGACGATTCATCTCAGCATCTGAACTACAATAATACAATCTGGGGGAGAAAAAAAGCAACTCTAAAGATATATGGCTTAACAAAGCTGGAATGAGTTTCAAATCAATCTTATTTCCCTGACTCAACCAGCTCCCAACAGTCCTAAAATTCAGCAACACACAAAAAGTTTTAAAATCTTTGAATAATACCATACCAAAGGAAATGGAGCTGGAGGTGGCTCACACCTGTAATCCTAGCTACTAAGGAGGCTAAGATCTGAGGATCTGAGGATCTAGGTTCAAAGCCAGCCTGGATTGGAGGGTCTGTGAGACTTTTATTCCAATTAACCACATATAAAAAGCAAGAGCTGTGGCTCAAGTGGTAGAGTGTTGGCCTTGAGCACAAAAGCGCAAGAACAGCACCCAGATCCTGAGTTCAAGCCACCGGATTGGCACACTTGCAGGTGCTTATGCATGCAAGTATATTCACACATACATATACAATTGCAGGGAAAGTGAAACTGTGTACAATAATTATTTGTTCTGTCCTCTAACAAAAATAATCAAAAACTAACAGAAGTATACAATAGTTTTATTAAGAAAGGGAAATGTTCAAAAAAATACTTAGCTTCTAAAAATCCTGAAGCTCAAAGTTGAATTAGGAGTCAAAATTTATTAAAATCAGCTTTTACAACCTCAGGTGCATTCGCACATAAGCTCATTTGATCTCACTAGCTCTGCTAAGTTAGTACTATCATTTAGTAAAGAAAATATTCCAAGTGTGCTCTGTAATACTTAGTATTTTCAGGGTTGTGCTGACAGATTTAATATACCAAACCACACCCGGAAACTAGAAAAATGCACCAGTCCCAGTAGCCAAAAACTCACTACCTCTCCAGCAGAAGCTTTGGTGCGGTTTACTTCTCCAGCACGCCAGAGGGACGTGCCCGCTTGGTAGTGAGCAGCACAAAATGATGACAGGTTTTTCTGATACTGTTGCTAGCATAAATTTCCATTTTAGTAAAATGTCCATCAACGCTCAAGGTCATGGACTTTAGGGGGAACAGTGAGACCTCCAGGGTTACCTACGCCTGAGAAGACCAAGGCTTCACCATCATCCACGACACCTACAGTGAGACTCTAATTCTGTAAAGAGCAATTAATCAGTTTCAGGCCTGCCAAGAGTGACACGTGCAAATCATACTGTGCCACCTCTGTGTTATAAGATGACTCTATCAGGAGGTAATACGCGAAAGCGTGGAGGGAACGAAGATCAAGAAAGAACTGTCACATCAAAGGAGGGGAGGGGAGGAGAGGAGGAGGAAAAACACATAAGCTTTCCTTACTGAGGTTGGAACCTTCGGTACCCAGTACATTTCAACCCGACAGGCACTTTCACTTCCGGGATTACTCCTTCCGGGTTAACGTTTGCTCCGGTATGTGTGTGTGGGGACGTCCACCTGTCTTGACCTTTCTCCAAAATAGTCCTTTGCGTCGTTAACAATAAACGGGAACGAAAAAGACTGCAAAAAAGAGCATCGGGCTGGAGCACCCTTGGCAGTACTTGCCTGAAGCCGATGTCCGGAGCGTGTTTTGCGGTGGAAGGGTTCCAAAAAGGAAGGGACAACTTCCCGGCTCTCCACCAAGGAACTCTGGGAATTGTAGTTTTTCTGCGGCTGACTTCTCTCCGCCCCTCAAGCCCCTCCCCACATCTTTCACTCTTGAGTAAAAGTGTATCTCTTGTTTGGATTAAGAGATCGAGGTTAGAGTCCTGGGGCAGTGACTCACACTCATGAGATCTAGAGACCACAATTTGAGGCCAGCACCAAGACATCCACCCCCACCGCAACAAAACAATTGTAGTGTTGCACAATACTAATCCTGGCTTCTGTGGAGATGTAGATAAGATCAAAATCAAGGGCCTACTGGGGGGCTGCGGGAAAGGGGGAGCTCTAGACTTTTATCTAAATAGTATAGTAGTAGTAGTGTTGAGGCAGGATTGATTAGGGAAAAGGAGACATGGTAAACTGCAGTATTAGTACAAGGAAAATAAAAAGAATTAAGAGCAGCTTTTGCCATCTGACCTTGCCTGCAGGCCCAAACCAGTGTGCTCTGAAACTGAGCCAGGACATCATTAAGGCCTGTATCCTGGAAAAGCAAATACTGGGGAAAACAACCACTAGCATGAAATGTTTATCTTAAAAGATGGACATCTGTCTTGGGGGGTAGGGGTGGAGGGAGGCAGAATACCTTCCTTTGAGGGGATGCCCAAAGTTTAATGAGTAGGCCAGTCTTAGAGGCTCTGAACCCAAGTGGTGTTTAAATGTAGATGTGCCAGTGTGAGATCAACTTTAAGTTAAATCTTACCCACCCCCCCATGTCAAAGAGCTCAGTGTGTTTCCCTTTGCATACCCACACTGTTAGGAATGTCCCTTGAGGCCTTTTTACTGTCTTTTGCTCCTTGTTTGCTTACTTAAAAGCTCTGCCAAGTTTTCTTACCATTGTGACTTGTATAAGGAAATTCATCTTGTGAGATCAAAGTCAAGGACCTGGGACTAAAACTTTAAGGGTGTCTACTTCTAGAGAAACACTTCATAAACCCTCACCAGAACAGGTGACAGTAGTAGCTGAAGCAGAAAAGAAAACGTGCTGGGTCATGGTGGCTCAAGATCCAAGTGATAGAGTGTCTGCCTACTAAGTGTTTAGGCCCAGAGTTCAAACCTTCATATCTCTGAAATAAGCAAGAGAGGTCAATATTTACAACATATAGGTAAAATTTCCTGTTACACCTAAAACAGTTTCTAATATATATATGGATATATATATATACATTTATCTAATGAGAACACATTTTCACTATGCAAAACTTCAGTGTACATGTTAATTGTTGTACCTTTTACTACTTGAGAAATACCTAATGACTAAAGAGATCTAAATTGGTATATTTTTTAAATCAACAGGAAATAAAAAAAGACCTGAAAGATACATAAATACAGTGAGCTGGCTTTTTAATTCACTGATTACATGTGGTATTGATCAAGAACAATCAATTAAAATAAAAAGAAAGTCCTTGCAGACCCTCGGTGATCCGGTGGCTACAGTTAAGGAGGACTAAGGTCGGCCTGGGAAATGCTGCTCCAATCGTCACTGCTCTGCCTCCTTTGATCCCAGGTGCTGGTGGTGCATGGTAATTGGCAGGGACTGACATCATGAGCACAAGGGACATGTGTGTTGTTGCCTGGTGGGGACCGACCGTGATTCCCAAGGTTCCCATATCTGGTGCTTGCTCATTTTGAACCCATGGCATCAGCAAAAGTTGGTCACCTTGCCTGAGACCGTCTTTGGTAAATCAGAATCTCTTAGAACCTCAAACCCTGTTTACAGGTACAGACCCTGATGAAAGGCTTTTCAGGGGCAGCTACTTGAGCAAGCCTGGCCTGCAGCTTGTCTCTGAGCAGTGGAGGCCTGGCTCCCCACCTGTGTACTCCTCAAGACGTATACAACCTCCAACATCTAGTCCTCACTCCACATCCCTCTTCTCCAAGCCTTCAGGAGGCCCGCCCAACAGGAGTGTTGTGCCTCAAAAATGCTACCAAACCAGCAGGCCAGATATGCCTTACTGGGGCATTGCTCACAGTGTGCTGTAACTGCAGGTTAACTGGAGGGTGGTGGGCAGTCCAGTGACATGAGGATTTCCCCTCCCAACAGAAAACTGAGTGGGAGGGGCTGGGAAGGTGGCTCAGTGGTAGAGCGCTTGCCTTGCATGCCTGAGGCCCTGGGTTCGATTCCTCAGCACCACATAAGCAGAAAGAAAAAAAAGCAGGAAGTGGTGCTGTGACTTAAGTGGTAGAGCACTAACCTTGAGCTGAAGAGCTGAGGGACAGTACCCAGGCCCAGAGTTCAGGCCCCACGACCGGACCCAAAAAATAAAAACAAAACTGAGTGGGTATAAATGTAACTGTTCTCACCACTAAGTAATGTCTCAGGCCTATTTGCAGGACAACCTAGTGGATGCCCTCAAAGTGAGAATGTAGAGTGGAGAAAAGAGACCAAATACATATTGATAGCCAGGAATGCAAAATGTACTGTGATAGTGATGGGAGTGGACACTGGACATTTAAAACTCTCTTGGACAACATGAGTCCCTGAAGAGAAATCTGAGTTCCCAGAGATCAGATAACAGCTTGAATAAGTGGCAGAAAACTTGTGTGAGCTTCCTGATAGGCCCTGTCATAGAGTGTTAGTGGCATTCCTAGTGTACATTTGCTGCTATTAACTATTTCTACAGCTCTAGAGGTGTTTGTAGCTGAGAAAGAGAAGGAGTCTGATTTCATTTCCCTTCTCTACTTAAGAACTACAGGGGCTGGGAAGGTGGCTCAGTGGTAGAGTGCTTGCCTTGCATGCCTGAGGCCCTGGGTTCGATTCCTCAGCACCACATAAACAGAAAAAGCCGGAAGTGGCGCTGTGGCTCAAGCGGTAGAACGCTCACCTTGAGCTGAAGAGCTGAGGGACAGCGCCTAGGCCCGGAGTTCAGGTCCACGACCGGCAAAAAAAAAAAAAAAAAAAAGAACTACAGAGAGCAAGACAATCCATCAAGGCACAGACAGTGAAAGGTGGACAAAAGAAGTTTATTTACACTATTTACACCAGAAAGGAGTCTTGAGACTACCTTGTCCTGGGATAGATACCCAGAACCAAGAGCAGCCTGGACCACCAAACCTCCAAGCCTCCAATAGGCAGTCCTTACCCCCCAAACCTCCAAACCTCAGACCTCCAAACCTCTAAAGCTCCAAAAGGGAAAGCTTTCCCTTTCTGCCCTTCCTCCTTCTCTGCAGGCCTCTCCACTCTCCACAGGCCTGCCCTGCTCTGCTCTGGGAGGCGCCTCTCCACGGGCCTCTCTAGAGGGAGGTCCTGAATGACCTCCAGAGGAGGCCCCAATGACCTTCAGAGGAGGCCCCGAATGACCTGAAGGAGGCTCCAAATGACTCCTCGAGGAGGCCCAAATGACCTCCCGAGGCTTGCCCTGTCCTCCACAGGCCTGCTCTGCTCCAGCAAGCTTTCCCCTCTTGCCGGCTCTCCTCCACTCCTACTCCTCCCCTTCCTCCCGGCTAAGTCTGTACTAACTTGTTAACGGTTCTCTCCTAACAGACCTTCTAATGGTTTTCGCCTAACGGTTTTTCCAGCTGCCCTTCATGCTCCTCCCCCAAGCTGCTCACTGTCCAATCATTTCTGAGAGCTCACCAGGTGGGGCTCGATGCTCCACCCCTCCAGTAGCATGCCACGCCCCTCTCAGCGGCCTGCCACTCAGTAGCATGCCACTCCTTCAGCTGCATGCCCCACACCACTCACTTTACACTTTCGCCCAGCCTGCTGCTGGGCTTACATCCGAACCAGCCTCTGGTTTGTCTGGTTGGAGAGCTTGAAGACGATGCAGAGTTCCTAAGCCCACCACCATCTTTCCCAGAGTCTACTTAATTGGCCACCATTTTGGCCCCTCCATCAACCCTGACACCCAGCCTTCTGGCCCCATTCCTGACACTTCACTGTCAAGAGCTCCTGCCACCTCTTCTGTCACTTTCCCAGAGCTGGCACGTGCTTCCTTCAGAGCACCGGTCATTAACAGCCAATCACCTCCAGCCTCTCAGATGAAGGCATCTTCCAAAACCCAAGGTGTCCCTGTACCTTCTCCTACCCTAAGCCAAGGATGGTGTTAGGGGCATGCTGAGCAGTGAGCCTCCCAACCCTTGTCCTTTCTTCTGCCTCTTCTAAGCTCAAGTTCATTTTGTTCCCATCTGAAAGAACTATCTTCTTGTGCTAGCAAGTCAGCCCAATACCAGCTCCCTTCCATATCCTTCTCCCTTCCCCCGACTTTCAAGATCATCTTTGGCAGCATGAAGTCAACTACTTTTGTGCCCTTGTTAACTCTTCTTTCTTCAAGTGGGCAGCTGCTCTAGCCATGATGGCAGCCATCATTTCTTCTGTCTTCACTGGCCTGGTTATCACAATGGCTTCTGTCACCATTACCAGCACATCCAGCAGCCTCTGCTTGGTTTAGGGGTGCATAATACAACCAAGCACCACTGTCACTCACTTTCAACCTTTCCTCTTTGGGCTTCCCTGCAGGAAGATCCTTGTGGTGTTTAGGCAATCTCCCCTTCCTGGGCATCAGTCCACACCTCTGGTTTGTGGCTCCCTGGTGCTGCTCAGGTGGCTTTCAGTGGCAGAAGCATCAAGTGGGTTTGGTAGTTGGCTCACTACTTCAGCCACTGCCCAGCCAAGCTGACCCCATAACCTTCAGCAACACCACCATCCTTGCCTTTAACAGTCCCTTTAGCCCTTGTTCCAGGGCTTATCCAGGAGGTTTTCATCCAGCCTGCGTTTGGGGCTAGCCTTTGTCTGGAGCTTTGGTTCTCTTTCACTTCTGGAAACTGAAGCCTTAGCCACTCGTGCTTTGCCAGCACCAGCGCAGACCCAGGTGGCAGCAGACAGCCCTGCTCTTTCAGCTTTCCACCTTTTGGCACCCCTGCCAGGCCTAGTCCAGCCTGCTGCAGAGACACCACT